CAGAATCTAGAGACACCACAACCAAAATGTAAAATGTTGTTATCAACTTTATCTATTTTTTTTCTTTAGTAAATTTACATTATGTGTCAGCTGTAATAAAGGTACCAATTTGAATGCACTAGATACATATTACGATAGTTAATGTCGCTTGAGTGATGCACGAGACCAAAATATTTGAAAATCCAAAATCTTTTATACATTTTAAAGAGCGGATAAAACCATAAAATGACAAAAAGCAAAGCCAAAACCAAAACCAAAACCAAAACCAAACAAGGAATCAGAGCTATGCATGAAAGAGATGCATTCCTTAACTTAAAATGATTTCGAAATATATAACAGAAAATTTGAATAAAACAATATTCGTATTTTCATGCCAGTACCTACTGTTTTAATGATACCCTTTCGGACTAACAGTCCACCAGCAGAGGTATCAATCCAATGAAATTCTCAGTAAACTGTTTAGTTCATTCATTTGTCTATAGAAAAACTGACGACTAAATGTTGGTCAGACATGTGTTAAGCCTTAAACAAAGAGATAATAACTTTTTTCTGTATACCCAACCCACTTAGAGTTAGATTATTAGTTTTCAATCTTATGATTGTGTTAGGTACTTTGTTTTGCTTTATTTACATTCGAACTGGAGATGCAAATTTACCGACTTGCAAGATCACCACAATCTTAGAGGTAATTAGTGATTACTGTTCCCTTAAGTATTATTATAATTTTTTTCAAATAAGAAAGGTTTGTATGAGGCCTGCAAAACAAGATTTATGATAACATAACGGGCATTAAAAATAGTAAATCGAGACGGGACATGGTTAAAAACAAACAACAGTCCCTCAATAACTACCCGGAAATTTAAAATAGTTAGCAACATGATCCGTACAAGGCCTATGGAATCACATGCTCTAGGAGCGTAAAAAGCTACTATTTCAAATCATTGCAACCGTATGTCAGGGATAAGATGTTTGAAAAAAATATCCCCATGTAGTAAATATACAAATATTTTATATTATTCGCATAATTCCTATAAAATTTCAGAAATCTTAATTTCTTATAAAGAAGCTTAATTTTCATCCCATCTTTTTCATATTGCTATACAAACTATTTCTTCAATTTAAACTAAATACTAACCACATACAACATCGTTTGTGTATAGAAATCCTATTAAATGAACTGCTTGATAAAGGAATAAAGTACTGGCATTTCACTTAAAACTCAATATAAATCCCAACAACACTTACCAAACAGGAAATCCTGAATTATCATAAGGTTGTTCTAAGTTCCTTTGTAATTTCAACCAAAGATGCAGAACTGATCCACAAAACCTTTCCAAACTATTAACATCAATTTTATAAGCATTGAAAGCCGGTTTCAGTTAATGTGAAACTATTTTATGTAGGGGCTGTGTGAATCAGATGTGGAAACAAAACAATTGCAAAGATTTGTTCGAGTACAAACAATCTTTGTCTCTTTCATCTAACAATAGTATATACTTTTCTACCCTTTACAAAGGACAGTATGGATGTAAAGAAAAAAACAAACAATCTGATTCATACAAACAAATTCTCTGAAATGGACAATGTCGAGATGCTTGATATTTTCATTCATAAGGTATATGCTATGTTTGGAGGACATACTTATGCTGTTATTATCCTTTAACTTTACGTTCCGCTATATGGATGATATCCTCTTTCTAAATAATAAATTTGGTGACTATGTAGAACGCATCTACCCCCTCGAACTTGAAATAAAGAAAACAACGGATACAGGTAATTATGATTCTTATCTTGACTTCCATCTAAAAATTGACAATATGAGTCGGTTGAGAACTCAAATTTACGACTGAGAGATGATTTCAGCTTTCCAATTATGAATTTTTCATTTCTATGTAGCAACATCTCTTCCGTACAATTATATATTTTATCAACACCATTGCCTGAACAAATCTTTAGACATGCAAATATTCATACCTTTGGATTTGATTTTCTTCTATGAGGGGGGAATGTCGTCCGTCCTACAAGTATTAAGGTGAAGAGGTCGGTCAACGTTATTTAAGGGTTAAAACGTTTACTTTGTTTTTGTATTGAATTGGTTTCTAGTTGTTCTTTCTATCAGGCTTTGACATAAAGGTTGTGTTGCACTTAGAAAAACAAAAGAAAAGGAACAGCGCTTTTATTGTTCTTCATTATTTCAAAGTCACAATTAGGCCTTGATAGGCTTCACGATGGGATTGCATTTGATAAATGTTCTTGTAATGACCGATAAAAATTAAATTATTGTTTAACTTCTGTTTTCACTTTACGAAATAGTACTATTCTCCAGGAAATCTTATACCTTGTTGACCGGTAAAACTCATTACAAATACCTTATAGCTCAAAATGCTAAACAAACAGTAAAGAATGATTTCCACGGGATAATCTATAATTGTTGATAATGTATATGTTGCGGAACATATGAGTATAGGGATCATTCGCGTAATTGTTTTAACGGGTTGGACGATATGAGTATTTAGACCATATAGGTATTTTTCAAATACACTTCGCAGAAACAGCCGAAGGCCACCAACGGGTCTTCAATGCAGCGAGAAAATCCCGTACCCGGAGGTGGTCCTCAGCTGGCCCCTTAATAAAATTGTGTGCTAGTTCAGTGAAAATGGACGTCACACTAAACTTCAAAACATATAAATGCACTAAAATTAAAAAACATACAAGACTAACAAAGGCCAGAGGCTCCTGACTTGGGACAGGCGCAAAAATGCGGCGGGGTTAAACACGTTTTGTGAGATCTCAACCCCCCCCCTATACATCTAGTCAATGTAGAAAAAAGAAACACATAGCAATACGCACAGTAAAACTCAGTTTACAAGAAGTCCGAGTCCGATGTCAGAATAGGTAACAAAAGAAACTAAGCAAAATGACAATGATACATAAATGAACAAAGGACTACTAGCAGTTACTGACATGTCAGCTCCAAACCTAAATTAAACTTTTTTTAAAACTGGTTTAAGAATAAATGTGTTTATTACCGATGCAAAGACCCTATGAGTGAATCAATATTAATACCAAAATATGCAATCCTTAATGACTTGATAACAGAATCGTAACTATATCCTTTCCGAATAAGTCTGTTTAAAGGTTTGGTTAGCTTTTGAGGTGAATGCCGACATTGTTGTGCTTTGTAAAGAATATTACCATAAAATATTGGATGTGAAATACCTGAACGTATAAGATGTCTGCATGTTGATTTATATTTACGAATGATGTCCTTGTACCGATGATAACATTTAGTAAATATATACATACAGTATCTCAATTAATACGTTACGGTAGTGCATGCTCATAAACAGGGGTGTGTTCCTGACAGAAAAACAGCTTAAACAGACTTATGAGGAAAATCGAAAGCAATTGATATAAAAACAAGAAGGTGTGGTATTATTTCGAATGAGACAAGTAACCAGAAGAGTTTAGATTACGTTGATATAAGCATTTTTATGTCACCGTAAGGCCTACAACAACGAGAAAAACATCTATAAAAGGCCCCGACATGAACAATGTGAAACAAGCATCTATTTTTTTCTTATATGCCATCACCAGCTCCTTTATAAAACCAGATATCTCATTTTATTTGAATAATGACCGACACGATGTAAGTGGTAAACATACATTTCGTGGAAATTAATATCTTTAAATTTATCATTGACCTTGTTCTCAAATAAAAATGTTTCATTCTTATATATTAAAGAAAGTATGTACTTCCTGGTCCCAGATATATAAAATGCTGACCCATTTTTCTTTTTCATTGTCAAAATTACTATCAATTTAATCATTGATATGAATGTTATGTAATAATTAATTAACTAATCTGGTTACAAATTACTTAGCATTAAATTCCTTTTCTTATTGAGAAATTACTGGTGAGCCTTATAAGTTTTTGTATTGTTTTATTACCCGTCTGCTGATTGACTGTTAATATGTTTTGATATTGACTTAACAAAACTATTGATTGGTGTTCTACAGTTTCTTTTACCACCGTCATTTTTCCTATCACTTCACGACACGTTTTTATTTTGTACACTCATGTGAATTGCTTGAAACGAGGTAATGATAGGAGGCATTATTGGGTCCCTGAAATTGCAAAAATGGTAATATTTTTCAATCGTTTCCAGTTTACCTCAGTTTAATCGCTACAGAAATGCCAGATATTACTGTGAAATAATAAGATGTTGTTGTGAAGTATTACTTCTGGACGTCCTTCGAAAATGCTTTAAGGCTTATAATGTATTAATTGTTGCTTGAAGCATTTTTAAAAGATAAGATGTTTAAAAAAGTATCTACATTTGGTTAATGAACAAAAATATGTATTTAAAAACAGACTTATTGCTACATGCTACGTCATTCTACGTCATTTGGTATATGATGGAGAGTTGTCTCATTGGAAATCACACCACATCTCCTTATTTTATATTATATTAAACTTATGCGTTACAAACAAGGGGATATGAGATAACTAGTATATCCAGTAGTGAAAGAACTTGTATACGGACAATGATATTAATTATGAATTATTACTTTCATTTTTCGAAACATTCATAGAAATAAAGATTTACCGAGTAATTGTCAGACTTTATTTTAGTTCATTAAAGAGATGCGAAAGATAGGAATAATCAAACTAATAAGAAGGAAACAAACTGTCAATGTCATGGCAAAAAAACGAAAAACGAAAAACGACCAAAAGACACATAACAATATACAAAACATAACATATAAAACTAAAGATTAAGCAACATGCTCTCCACATGTGACACCCGTTGCTCGTGTAAGCATCCACATCAACCTTCTATCATTTTTTTCAAGGAAATCAGGATAGGAGATGCAAGCTCTTAAATATTGAATGAACTAGGATAGATATACTTCGTATGAATACGGACAGATATTGGTCCATGTCTAGGTCTCTAAAATTTCATCCTTTTAGGGCCATTCAAAGATAATCTCGACGGTTTGTTTAAACATAATTCGAACTTTATTTACAAATTGATTTATCTTTGTTTAATCAAAATATAAAATTTTATATCTGACTGCACTGCCATTTTAAGTCCGAAATGATTCAAACTTGTATACATCACCACAATTAATATGAGTTACGCCTGTTCAAATACGTTAAGGTTTTTCTCTATTTACGTGACATCAACAAAGTAACAACGATGGGATAAACAATAATCAAAATTACTGCAAAAAGTTTTCCTTTTCTGCTGGCTACAAATGTTGAAATGTCAGAACCTCCTAGAAATGAATTCATCCAATACCCAGAACTTTGAATTTCCCTAGAAAGTTTCTCTGCAGTAAAGCCTGATGCTGTTGCGTTACTGATCTCCTTTTCAACTTCAGTTCTGATCACATTTCCATTTGAAGCATACTTCAGCAGCTCCTTACAGAACCTTTTGGAAAATTCAACACAATCATCTAGAAGAACACTATAAACGTTCGGAGAAGCTTGTAATGCGGCACATTGGAATGCAACTTCAGAAACATCATGGAAAATACCGATTGAGTACGCCTTTTTAATGTTATCTTTTATATTTACGAACGCTTCTACCTTCCGACGAATTTTATACATTCTCGCTTTCTCGTCTTCAAAACATAGTTCGATTCTCGTTACATCTTGAAGTGTATCCGACATAGTTGTGTCGCTGTAATATCGTGTACACAAAATGAAAGCATGATATGAATTGTTTACACATATATATACCTTGTGAGCTGATTTCTCGGCAAAAGATAGTTTACAGTTCAAAGATGACTTGTCTTCGTTTTTGTAAGCTCTCACAACACCTACATCTAAGTCAGAAACATTGTTCACCCGATAAGCAAAGGGATCGTAGCTCCGTAAGACTTTTTCCACCATATTTGTGTAAATATGGGAACAATGCTAATAATATACCTGAATAATGCGCAACGTGGAAAGGGATACATTAAAAATAGATACTGTGTAATTTGGTAAATTGTTTGACTTCAAGGACAAATATTAAATCAGGTTGTTTACGTCGGATAGGAACATAGTTAGAGTTATTAATAGTTCATAGATTTAATCAAATATACATGAAAAGGTACACCAAAAAAGGTTATTTTGTACATAAATCAGGCCTTTAAATAGTTTAACATTTGTTATTTCACTTATGTCAACAAATGTAAAACGATAAAATGACAAACAATAGTATTCAAAACACAACATACAAAACTTAAGAGTGAGCAACACGAATTTACCAAAACCGGGGGATGATCACATGTGCTCCGGAAGGGTTAGCAGATCTGCTCACATATGGCTACTGTCGTGTTACTAATGAAAGTACAAACCCCGTGACAAGTGTAAAGAAGACAGGAATGAGGTTACGACAATTGGAATATATCCGTCGTCATCAGTCAAGGAAATTATGATAGGAAAAACAAGCCCTGGAATATCGTATTAATTGGGAGATATATACGTCATATGCAGACGCTGCTGTAATATTGCTACATAGAAATGAAAATTTAACAATTGCAAGGTGAAATCATCTCTTTTATCGTAAAGTTTTGTTTTCAACCGACACTCATTGCCAATTTTTAAATGTAAATTAAGATATGAGGCAGACTAAACTACATCTGTTGTATTCTTTATTTCACGTTCGATGGGATAGATGCGTTCAACATAGTCACCAAACTTTGAATTAATTAGTGAGAGGACATCATCTATATAGCGGAACATGAATTTAAAGGATAAAGATAGTTTAGCGAAATGGACGTCACACTAAACTCCGAAACATATAAATGAACCAAAATTAAAACACATACAAGACTAACAAAGACCAGAGGTTCTTGACTTGGGACAGGCGTAGAAATGCGAAAGGAGAACATCATAACCCGTATCATGCCATCAACTGGTAATAAAATAATAGTGTTTATTTCCGATGCAAGGACCATATGAGTGAATCAATATTAATTCCAAAAAATGCCACCTTTAATGACTTGACAACAGTATCGTAACTATATCTCTTCTTCTTAAACAATAACACTACCTTATTTCATATCTAAATTATATATATATATATTTATAAGTCTAAATTGAAAACAACGTTCAAACCTATGATTGCGTTGGATAAAAACCGCAATTTTTATACGTGTGCATGCAAAATAAATTTCTTGGTAAAGGAGTCTAAATACAGCACAAACAACATTTTCCAAAAGACCAAAAAAGTGAAAAAGTATATTTTAACAAAACGCATTTTACTAACAGGTCGAACAACGGATGTTCTTAAACCCTGCTGACTGCCATTGGCGATTGCCAAATAAACGGATCATAAGATGTAACAAAATGGATCTTTATCATTAATTTCATACCAAACAGAAAACAATAAACTTGCGGAAAAGATGGTATACCGCAAACATGAGGTGCAAAAATTTGTACACCAGATCCGGATTTCGACAATTAATGTCTCTTCAGTGATGTTAGGAATCGAAACGGTATTTGGAAGGCCATATAATTTACCTCAATTTAGGATAGACTCTTGAATTTTGAAGAGTTGAAATAGGATGAACGGATCATATAAACCCGTAGGCAAATATAATACAAAGCCCAAACGAAAAAATATAAATAAGTCTAAATTGAAAACAACGTTCAAACCTATGATTGCGTTGGATAAAAACCGCAATTTGTATACGTGTGCATGCAAAATAAATTTCTTGGTAAAGGAGTCTAAATACAGCACAAACAACATTTTCCAAAAGACCAAAAAAGTGAAAAAGTATATTTTAACAAAGCGCATTTGACTAACAGGTCGAACAACGGATGTTCTTAAACCCCAATATATATATATCTCATTATTGTTGCAACGATACTTATAAAAGATGATATTCTAACCCGATGAAATTATATCGAAAAAGAAAGGCGAAAGATACCAAGGGGACATTCAAACTCATAATCGTGTCAATGTTTTTCCTTTCAAAATGCAATAATATATTTGAGTTCTTTGTGTGTTAAAAGAGCTCACTTGTACTCGCTATACTGGCACTTCATTTACAAAATAAGTTGGCGGTGTTAAAATTTACTAGGCGTTATGTCAGTGAATCCTCTGTTCAGTCACTAAAACTTTAATGCATTTAAAGTTCTTTATACTGTCTTGGCCATGGGCAATCAACAGACGTCCATTTGTCAATCTCTAAATCGGCCTATGATATAGTATATAAACATTATTTTTAAATACCAAATTGGGTTCTCATGACAGATGTTTAAGTCGTATAATCACTTAAAGTTTCCGTTTGTGAGTGTTAACAGAAAAAGGACCTGAACCGAACGGAAAATATTGTCAGAAGATAGCTTTGCGTATGATAATTTAATATGACGCTGCTGTTTGATGGTACGGTAGATCGAATAGATCTTTGGCTTTCCTAACGTTTTTCGAACAACAACGATTATCAATTTGTGTGTGCTACCTATTTTCCCCTTTTCCTGGTATCTTTTATTGGTTCGTTTTATATAACAGTTTAACAACATTAAATTCCAAATCAGAACTAGTTCACAGCGATTGGATCAGCAAAAGTATAGAAACAGTTTAAGTAGCCCTCTCTTTAAAGAAAATAATGTAGCAGTGTCTGTATAACTTACGAAAACGACATTTGTTTGTAAATACATGTAATTGTCATTCTTCTGACATCTGACATCTTTAAAGACCTTTAGTGATTGACTTTGCTTTACAAAGTTTGTCTATTGAAAAAAAGAATACATAGGTATCTCCGTACACATTTTGTCAACAAATGTAATAATACAAAGTATTATCTTCTGTCAAAACGGTTCAAGGGGCCTCCGTGGCCGAGTGGTCTAAGGAGTCAAACTATTGTAACACTAGCCTGTCAACACTGAGGTGGTGATTCCGAATTTGACACATGGCAGGTCGTTCGACTCCAATCTTAATTGACTAGGATTGTCAGTTTTCCTACCGAAGGTCGGTGGTTCTCTCCGATTACACTTTCTTTTACTACTATAATTTCATAAGCGGTTTCCCCGCTTTTATTTGAAATAAAATTGCATGCTTTTCGTGATTTGTTCACTGCGTGATTTGAACTGACGGAACACAAAAACCAACCCTATCCCGCCCTTGAGAATATTTGTTCTGCTGTTTGTTGTATATTTTCAGATATTGTCAAAAGAGGCGTCGTGGATTGGGCAGAATATGAACTTAATACTTAATTTTTGCTGAATTTATCACAGTTGGCGTCTGGTAGCCCAGTTGCCATTTGGAGAAAACGATAGATGATGGCCTTCAATGTTTTTATCTTGGACATTAATGAGACATTGTCGATTAATGCAAATTCGTTGGCCGGTTGATTTATAGTTGAACTGTCCTAAAAATCCATGACAAAAAAATTGCCAAAATTCAAATTTACTATTTGTTGTTTTTTATTATGATTATTAAATAGTTTGTCTTACAATTTGTCTAAAACGAAGGTAATCTGGAATCTTTGGAATTATTACAAGTGATTTCAATGAATTTGGGTTATCTTTTATCATGTTTTTTGAATCCCTAAATTTACATCTGTTGGTTTCTTTCGAATATTCAATAAATTACTGCTGAGCCTTATAAATGTTCTGTGGTCTATATTACTCCTCTGTTGGTTGTGTAATGATATGTTTTAATAGTCACTAAACAGAACTACGTACTGATTGGTGTTTTACTGTTCCCTATATCACAGTCATTTTTCCTATCACTTGACGAGATGTTTTTCTTTTATACTTCAACGTTAATTTGCTTGAAAGAAAATTGCAAAAATGAAAAAAATCATCATTCCTTTCCAGTATATGTCAGTTGAGTCGCTACATAAATTGCAGTTGTGATATCCCTGCGAAGTCATAAACAGGTTAAGATTAATACCTAAAATAGCCATTTCTCAAAAACCTTTTTTTTTTCTTTTAAGCGAAGGCCTTCCCTAAAATATATTTTATCGATTATAACATATGTGTATAAAACATCGTTTAGTATAATATCTTTATTATGATTGCTTGACACTGAATATGAGGTTATTTTGGCAGTTTTTTTAGTTAAAGATAAAAGCAGCAAGTTTCAAGCTCTCATGCAAATATTTCAAAAATATGAAAACTGATATCTGACATGATCTTGACAGGGCAAACATTAAGTCCGACAATTTCAAATTCCTTATTTACATGTGTAGATTAGTACTATATTAACTACATGTCATTGAGTGTTCATTTTTTTACCATTTTACCCTGTTGTTTACTTTTCCATTGTAAAAGGTGTTTTTAATTTGAATTCATAGAAAAAGTTTGGGTGTACTAAAATGATTTCAAAACACCAGAACGAAACTGTAAAGTGGTTAAAAAAAATTTAACTAAAAAAGTAAAAAAAAAAATAATAAATAGTTTTAGTAAAATTACAATGGAAAAATGTACCTCTTAGGCTAATTATATGGTGAATCATTTTTACTGCACTTTATTGAACCATGCCTAAAAGCTTATAATATAGTGATACGAAAATGGTTGCTTTTATATATCCAACCCATTATAGCCCAGAACAAGGTTTAATTAATTTTTGAAATCATTATCAATTCTTTTTATCATTATGATGATTGTCAAATCTTTGTTTTAGCAGGTCTTTATGTATTTTATACTTTAATGACATATATGTGTCACTGCAGATCCACCGACCTGTAAGATCACCACAATCTTATAAATAATAAGTCATTACTTTTCCCTAGAACATGATAAAATATAGAAAGAGGGAAAAATGTTCTGAGAGGTCTGCAAAGAAGAAAAAACAGTAAATTAGCAACTCCGTGGAAAACGAAAAGATTGAGCAACCACACTAAAACATGGTACGAAGATTCTACTACCATTTCCATTAGTGGCACCGGTATTTAAAAGATTAGATGTATAAAAGATCCTCATGTGGTTAATACACATAAATATTTTGTATTTATGACATGACTTATATTAAACTTGTGAATATACATACAAGGAGATATGAGATAACTATTCACAAGTGACCACACTTTTAAATGGACAATGAAATTAATTACGGATTATTACGTTATTTTTTTTTTGTTCATTGAAATGAAGTTTTACCAAAAAATCTCCAGACTTTCTTGTTTTTTTTATGAATACGGTTAAATACATGACCATGTCTATGTCTTTTAGATCCAATTCAAATTTTAAAGGATGAAGTTTCTTTCAAAAGATATATTTATATCTGCAAATAATCAATTCCTTCAAATTCAATACGTCTAGATCGTACATTATTTTTGATTCAGTATATTATTTCCAAATTAAGTTATGTTCGTATAATCAAAGTGGATCAAGTATAGAATACGTATTTGTAGTTCTGTCGAATTATTATAAATTTTCATAGAAGCTAAATTGGTTCTTATGTATTTATAAGGGAGTTTTTTTTCAGTTATTTGGTTTTCATTTTTATAAAACAATTGTAGTTCCTTTCAATTTTAAATGAGTTCTATGCATTTAAAATATTGTAAAGATTAAATTGTCAACAGGTCAGCAGGTTAAATAGTCGACAGGTAAGCTGGTCGACAGGTCCTGCTGACTCAATAATTCGATTGTTGGACCTCAATTATTTAAATGCTAGCCTGTCGACCTGCTGGCTTGTTGAACTGTCGACTTGCTGCCCTGTAGACCCGCTGACTAAATAAATGGCTGCGGCTTTTAAAAAATTTCTAAGTGAGGAAATTTTATCGACCTGCTGACTTGTCGACCTGTCAACCTGCTCACCTGCTCACCTGTCGACCTGCTTATCTGTCGACCTGCGCACCTGTCGACATGTAGACCTGCTGAATCAATATTTCAATTGATGGAGACCAATTATTTATATGCTGACCTGTCGACCTGCTGACTTGTCGACCTGTCGACTTGCTGCCTTATAGACTCGCTGACTAAATAAATGGCTGCGGGTTTAAAATAGTTTCTAAGTGAGGACATTTTATCGACCTGCTGACTTGTCGACCTGTCAACCTGCTGACCTGTCGACCTGCTTATCTGTCGACCTGCTGACCTGTCGACATGTAGACCTGCTGACTCAATATTTCAATTGTTGGAGACCAATTATTTATATGCTGGCCTGTCGACCTGCTTACTTGTCGACCCGTCGACTTGCTGCCTTGTAGACCCGCTGACTAAATAAATGGCTGCGGTTTTAAAAAAGTTCCTAAGTGAGGATATTTTATCGACCTGTTGACTTGTCGACCTGTCGACCTGCTGACTTGCTGACCTGTCGACCTGCTGTCTGTCGACATGTAGACCTGCTGACTCAATAATCAAATTCTTGGAGACCAATTATTTATATGCTGACCTGTCGACTTGCTGCCATGTAGGGTTAGGGTTAGTTTTAGGGTTAGGGCTAGGGTTATCGTTAAGGTTATTTGTGGACCTGTTAGTATATTGTTTAAACCTCCCCAAGGACTCAGCGTATGAATATTATGCAAACCAGCGAAGGAATTTAGCCGGAACTACTTAAACATATACTATACTTGGGCCCAAAGTTCCATATCTAACAAAACTGCTTTTTAATTCTAAAACTATTTGAAATTGACTTCATCAACACGATGAATATGAATATGTAAAGGTTCTCTATCATCAACAAAGTTACAACGTTGGAATAAACAATGATCAAAATTACTACTTTTCCTTTTCTGCTGGCTACAACTGTTGAAATTTCTGATCTTCTAGAAATGAATTCATCCAATACGCAGAACTTTGAATTTTCCTAGAAAGCTTTTCAGCAGTGAATCCTGATGCAGTTGCGTATCTGATTTCTTTTTCAACTCCAGTTCTGATCTAATTTCCATTTGAAGCATACTTCAGTAGCTCATTACAGAACCTTTTTGAAAATTCAACACAATCATCTAGAATACACTTTAAACGTTCGGAGAAGCTTGTAAGACGGCACACTGGAAAGCAACTTCTGTCCTAAGTTATGAACCTGTTGTTTAGCGGTTATCGTTTGTTGATGTGGTTCATAATGTTTCTCTTTTATCGTTTTTTATATAGACTAGATCGTTGGTTTTCCTGTTTGAATTGTTTTACACTAGTCATTTTAGGGCCCTTTATAGCTTGCTGTTCAGTGTGAGCCAAGGCTCTGTGTTGAAGGCCGTACTTTGACCTATAGTTGTTTACTTTTTACACATTGTGACTTGGATGGAGAGTTGTCTCATTGGCACTCATACCACATCTTATTATTTCTATTTAGAGTTATGCAATGTGGGATTTTATGATTTAAAAATAGCATCTGTTTAAATTGTTTGACTTTAGGGACAACTATTTAAAAAAGTTGTTTTCGTCGGATAGGAACATAGTTAGAGTTACTAATAGTTAATAGTCTAAATCAGATACACATGAAAAGGCACACCAAACATGGTTATTTTGTACATCAATCAGGTCGTTTAAATTGTTTTCCATTCAGCGGGATTTTTTTAATGTTAAGGGTGTTTCTATTGATTGATTGGGTGATTGGTGTTCAACACGGTCAGTTTTTATTGGTTGAGGAAGCCGGGGTGCCCGGATAGAACCACCGACCTTCGGTAGAAAAACTTCTAGTTAATTGAGATTGGAGTCGAACGCACCTGCAACGTGCGGGATTCGAACTCACAACCTCAGTGCTGACAGGATAGTGATACAGTAGTTCGAATTATGCGAAAAATTAGTATACACAGAATCTTACACATTCATCCACATATTCTCACACAAGCATGAACCTTCATCATTATTTATAGTCTTTTTTAGAAACAAAATTAATCATCTTGTCCATTCTGTCTTGTACTTCATCTGACATCAGATTAGTTTGACGAACGTCCTTGAAATCATCAGTCACTATTTTATTATATATTTCAAGTACGATCTATCACCTTCTAAAAGAACTTCAGACGTTTTGCGATATGTACAAAACAATATAACACGGCTATCTCGTATCTTTCCAATTAGTTAATCGAATGCAGCATGGTTTTGTTTTAGTACAACTTTGCTAAATACACCATCAACTTTATTCACATTAATATTTTCTGAACATGATTCTCAACGTTTTTCTATCGAATAAATAGGTTTATTAACACACTCCGTGTTGTTTACTCATTTCTCAGGTAAATTGTCACCTGTAACATCAATACACTGTTCTCTATGCACGTATTCGACAGTTTCAAAATCAGCTGTATCATCTATTATTGAGGTAACGTTTTATCTATGTCTATATCATCATATTTTTTTTTCGGTATATTTAAAATGGTTTCTTCAATATCAAACGAATTAGAATCCACGGAAACAATTTCATCCTGATTTAAACTATTATTTTGAAAACTGTTATAATATTCTGACATTCTATTAGTGTTTCGTTTAACTGTAGAGTTTGATTTTGATCGACTACTAAGACCACTCAGCCATCGAGGTCCCACATTGTGTAAATACAACTTTTCCTCCTTATAGACACAGATGAACTACTTCAAACTACAATAAATAACAAATTTGAGGATTTGTTTAACTTTCCCATTGTCAACTTCCCATTTCTCAGCAGTAACATATCCTTTTGTCCCATCGTATGACGTTAACATATCTAAATTAATTCGTTTACGCTAGTGTTTGTGGTATTTTGACTGGTTGTGGAATTACAAGATGGGGTGCGCAATGCATAGCAAGAAACGCAAATCCTTTCGACGCACCGATCTCGCTCGTTTTTGAGTTCATCGATTCCCTCAGTTTTGTTTTTAACTTGATTTTTCTTCTTTGGTTTTTTTTATGGACTAGAGTTAGCTACGGTTGCCTCTTATCTATTTTATATGCAATTACTAGTTCATTATTGAAATCGGAAATACCATTTCTATTAAATACTGCAATTTGTCTTTTGTTTTGTTTTTTTTTTTTTGTGCCATGGCGTTGTCAGTTTATTTTCGACTAATGAGTTTGGATGTCCCTTTGGTATCTTTCTTCTCTCTGTGTCAACAAAAACTGGTAAACTTTAAATTCCATGAGAGTGGATATCTTTAAATTTAATAGTGACCATGGTGACTATTATTCCAGTTATGTAAACTTCTGAACAAATTCGAAAGTTTTTTTTTAATTGCTAATTTACCGGTGAAAGTTATTTTCTATGCTTTTCAATCACCATTTTGGTGAATGTGTACTAATGTTGTTTAATAATGACTACCCAATACTATTATTTGGCATACCACAGTCATTTTCCTATCACTTGTCCACATCTCGACATCTTTTTATTGTGTACTTTAATATTAAGCTTCTTTACAGAAGGGATTTGCTAGAAGATATTACCTGGCCCTAAAATATGCAAACAAAACCGTAAAATTCCTCAATCCTTTCCGGTTATTGTCAGTTTAATTGATAAATGAATAAGCTAATATAATCTGGACTTAACAGAAATGTCAGTTGTGGTATCACTGTTATTGTATAAACATGTTGAAATTTTTACCTTAAGTTGCCATTTTAAACATAAGGTTTTGGAAATATTAGATATAAGCCCAGGCTGACCTAAAACGGTGTTATAACACAAATGACATCTCTGTATAAGACATCATGCAGCAAATTATTTATGATAAATCATATGCCCTGAAAATGGGACTGTCTTAGCGTACGATAAAGAAAAAAGGTTTCACGTTAATTTTTCCTTAAAATTTTGACCCAAAAAACGTTTAGTATACACGATCGCGCTATATGCAAAGACAAATATACCTTTATGACCTAATTTTTTAGATACTTCCGTTTGAAATTTGCATGTTTCATGAAAAAAAAAGTTAAAATTTTGAATACTTGTCCGAAAAAGATAACACAACTTTCAAACAGAAAGTGATATGTTTACCCGTTTTTTCCAAAGTTTAATTTACTTTATAGAACTTTACGGAAGCCCCTCTACATGAATACTGTTTGCTATAATCTTATTTTGAAATCATATAATAATTGTTGATAAAAGCTGTAAACATTTTTCTCACACATACAAATACATATAGAAAAAATTCTCTAGTTAATTGTGTAACAATTTCGATACAATAGTCGTTTGCAGAATAGACAAAATGGGGTCTATGTGCTCCTTCCTTTGGCTAGAAACAAAACTCGCAGTTTTATAAATGCGAGAGATCTCAATTCCCCTTTTTTCGTGGAACTGTATTTTCAAAGCGCAACTTCGTTATGCAGTTATTCCCACCGTACAAAAAAAAATGTTTTAAAAATTACTGACATATTCGGATATACTGACGATAAAAATGCACAGAGTCTTCATTTTGTATAAAACATCGTTTAGTATAATATCTTTATTATGATTGCTTGACACTGAATATGAGGTTATTTTGGCAGTTTTTTTAGTTAAAGATAAAAGCAGCAAGTTTCAAGCTCTCATGCAAATATTTCAAAAATATGAAAACTGATATCTGACATGATCTTGACAGGGCAAACATTAAGTCCGACAATTTCAAATTCCTTATTTACATGTGTAGATTAGTACTATATTAACTACATGTCATTGAGTGTTCATTTTTTTACCATTTTACCCTGTTGTTTACTTTTCCATTGTAAAAGGTGTTTTTAATTTGAATTCATAGAAAAAGTTTGGGTGTACTAAAATGATTTCAAAACACCAGAACGAAACTGTAAAGTGGTTAAAAAAAATTTAACTAAAAAAGTAAAAAAAAAAAAAAATAAATAGTTTTAGTAAAATTACAATGGAAAAATGTACCTCTTAGGCTAATTATATGGTGAATCATTTTTACTGCACTTTATTGAACCATGCCTAAAGGCTTATAATATAGTGATACGAAAATGGTTGCTTTTATATATCCAACCCATTATAGCCCAGAACAAGGTTTAATTAATTTTTGAAATCATTATCAATTTTTTTTATCATTATGATGATTGTCAAATCTTTGTTTTAGCAGGTCTTTATGTATTTTATACTTTAATGACATATATGTGTCACTGCAGATCCACCGACCTGTAAGATCACCACAATCTTATAAATAATAAGTCATTACTTTTCCCTAGAACATGATAAAATATAGAAAGAGGGAAAAATGTTCTGAGAGGTCTGCAAAGAAGGAAAAACAGTAAATTAGCAACTGCGTGGAAAACGAAAAGATTGAGCAACCACACTAAAACATGGTACGAAGATTCTACCATTTCCATTAGTGGCACCGGTATTTAAAAGATAAGATGTATAAAAGATCCTCATGTGGTTAATAAACATAAATATTTTGTATTTATGACATGACTTATATTAAACTTGTGAATATACATACAAGGAGATATGAGATAACTATTCACAAGTGACCACACTTTTAAATGGACAATGAAATTAATTACGGATTATTACGTTATTTTTTTTTTGTTCATTGAAATGAAGTTTTACCAAAAAATCTCCAGACTTTCTTGTTTTTTTTATGAATACGGTTAAATACATGACCATGTCTATGTCTTTTAGATCCAATTCAAATTTTAAAGGATGAAGTTTCTTTCAAAAGATATATTTATATCTGCAAATAATCAATTCCTTCAAATTCAATACGTCTAGATCGTACATTATTTTTGATTCAGTATATTATTTCCAAATTAAGTTATGTTCGTATAATCAAAGTGGATCAAGTATAGAATACGTATTTGTAGTTCTGTCGAATTATTATAAATTTTCATAGAAGCTAAATTGGTTCTTATGTATTTATAAGGGAGTTTTTTTTCAGTTATTTGGTTTTCATTTTTATAAAACAATTGTAGTTCCTTTCAATTTTAAATGAGTTCTATGCATTTAAAATATTGTAAAGATTAAATTGTCAACAGGTCAGCAGGTTAAATAGTCGACAGGTAAGCTGGTCGACAGGTCCTGCTGACTCAATAATTCGATTGTTGGACCTCAATTATTTAAATGCTAGCCTGTCGACCTGCT